ACAGAAAAAGAAAACCAGAAGATCTTCATTTCTTTAATCAGTCTATAATTAATTTAGAAAATGTTGTGAATAAAGTTACTCTAGAACATTCCAATAATAACAGACAGGAATCTAATTTAAAAAAAACTTTCAATGAAAATGATTTTGAAAAATCAGAAAATGAAATTGCAGTTGCCCAAAGCTTTGCTTCTACTGTTTTCGAATATTGTTTTTGTAAACTGCCCTGTCCAAATAGCCATTCACAATCCCCTGGTATTCAAGATTTTATAAGTAAAAAAACTAACAATACTCCAATTGAAAAATCTGAGGTAAAATATCTGTCCTTGTTAGACGAACAATGTGACAATAAAGATACTGTCAAACATTCATTAGAGATACTTCATCAAAATTTAAATGTCTGTCAGGATATCAACCATTTAGTTGTTGTTGGTGATGGAAAGACCTATGACCTCTTAGTAAAACTCAAAGGGGAATATGGATCAGAACTTGATTGGGTCCTCCCTTTTCCAGGCGACTGGCACATACTAAAAAATTATCAGAGGATGCTTATGAAGTTGTATCTTGATGCTGGTCTCAAAGATTTCATTGAAATTTTCCATCAAGGTGCAACTGCAAATTCTGTTATACAGGCTGTGAACTTTGATAAAACGCATGAATTTTTGTTGCAGTTCTGGGAATCACTTTTTCGTTTTCAAATAGAAACTGTTATTAAATATTTTCATTTTAATCATGAACAAAATGACAATTTTATTCATATTAAAAGAGTATCTGACATTTTATCAGATGATACACTTTCCCCTCTAGAGAAAATACAGAAAGAAATGCAATTTTTCCAAAATTTTTCATTTGAATATAAAGAATTATTGGGTCAGCTTTGTGAGGAAAATGAAAACTGGAGATTTTGGAATACATTTTTAAGTAAGCACTGCTTTACTTACATTGCGTATTTCCTTGCCATACGTTCTGGTAACTGGGAACTTCGTAACTTTTGTATTAAAGAAGTGACCAAAATTACCCAAATTACTGAAAGCAAATATTATGCCCGACTTTTACCATATCATATAGCCGACTTGAAAAATTTTCCAGCTGGCATAATAAAAAAGTTTGAAGAAGGTGCTTTTGTTGTGAACATATCTGGCAGAAACATTCATAGTCAGGGGTTGGATGAAGCACACGAGAGTTGTATAAATCGTGAAGTTAAGGGTGCAATGAGAACTTTTTCCTCTGCTGCATTGTCAAAACTGGTTCATTATCTTCCACATAGAGCTAAAGTGCTAACAAACTTAAAAAAAGAAATTTCATTCAATAAGCCAGACATTCACAAAACTGCAGTTACTAGGACAACTTTTGAAGAAGAAAACATACTTTTGTATATACAGAATCTCAGGCAAAGCCATTTAGTGCAATTTGAGCACAAAACTTTATCACATATTTTCAATGATAAAATAATTCTAACAAAATTACAAAAAGATGACCTGTTATCATATGAAAATGTAGCCACTACTCATTTGATGACATACATAAAATCTTGTATGACTGACTTTAAATTTAGATATAATAAAACCAAAAAAATTACCGGATTTTCATTTAAACCACAAACTGTTTCTTATGTTAAAAAAGAATTAAAAGATCAACGTTTAGAAAATTCGTTACTAAGGAAACAAATTTCCTGGTCAAAAAATCAAAACATACCAGTTTCAGATCTTCAATAATTTATTGCTTTACCGAAAGCCATTGTTGAAGCTGATGGCTTACCATATAAAGGTGACAAATCAAAAACTTTAAAAATTTTCCGTTCACGATACCCAGATTCTTTCACAAATAATTTAAATGAAACTCCTCAATGTGTAGTTATAGATGGAATGTTCATTTTACATACCAAACCCTTGTTATCTTCACATAAAACTTTTACTGATTATATTATTTACCTTTACAAAAAATGCATATTACCCTATTTTGATAATAATAATACAGTTGAAGTGCATCTAGTTTTTGATGATCAGTCCCCTCAGCTTTCCCCAAAGGACATTGAGCGAAACAGACGTGATTTAAAAAATGAAAATACATCTGGTGTTTCTTTTACCGAATCTTCCAAACTACCCTCGGACTGGGTGAAGTTTTTGACAAATAGAAACAACAAAAAACAACTGGTTTTATTAATAAGTGAACAGTTTTTATTACTTTCACAAAATGCAATCAAATTAAGTCAAACATTTGTAGTTGGTGGTGGTTTTGACAATTCGTCTATATCAAAATGTGTTGTCCAAAATGAGATAAGAATAATCAAGAATTTTCAAACTAATATATCAGAGGGGGACAGTCGAGTATGGTTACACGCTGAAAAAACTTTGTGTGATACTGTGCTTATTTATTCGCCAGACAATGACACATACAACATTGGTTTACCATTTATACAAACTTTAGACAAACAGGTTTTTGTTCAACTTACTTTTAAGAAGGATGTCATATATTTAAACATGAATAAGCTTATTCATTCCATGAAAAATGATCCAGATTTACAATGCATTTCAAACGACATTCATGACAATATACCATCAATTTTTCAGATGTTGTATATTGTTACTGGATGTGATTATGTATCTTTTTTTAGGGACCATGGTAAAACTTCTTTCTATCAGATGTTTTTCAAATATCCAGATTTTATTACTTCTAATAATATTGTAAAGGGGTGGTTGGGAATATTAAGTGATAGTGATAACACAGAAAATGAAGGATTTCTTGCTTTTTTACGTTTAGTTGGGTGTGAATATTGGAGGAAATGTTCCTCTGCCTTCTTAAAGGATAGGATCGAATCTCCTCATTATTTATTTCAATCTGTTTTTGTAGAAACATTAAGCCCGTTAGAAAATCACTTTATTTGGCTTTCAAAAATTAGAGATGCACTGTACTGTCGAGTTCCATCTGAAGAATTTTTCCTGCCATCAAATGATGCCTCATTCTTACACTGGAAAAGATCTTGTTGGGTTAAACTTGTATGGCAGCAAGCTAATCAAAATTTTGTGCATTATCCAATTTTGAATGACCATGGATGGAAGATTGAAAAAAATGTACTAAGCATTGTTTGGGACTCTGATGAAAATTTAGAAAAAATATCAAACAATATAAAATTATGGACAGCTGGGTGTGGGTGTTTAAAATCTAATTGTAGTGGCAATCAGTGTGGATGTAGAAAGCAAAAAAAGTCATGTGGTCCTGGATGTAAATGTGGACAGTCTTGTTTAAATTCAAATGGCCCTACAATGTTACCTTCAGGTGATGCGAATATCCAACAACCCAACGAGAAAACCCAAGTTGAACACATTTACGACTCTGAATCAGACACTGACTCTGATAATATGACATTTAATGACATTTTTCTTGAATTTGAGAATCTTGGCATTAATTTAGTTGAACTGGATGAATCAGATTTACAAACTGTCATCACAGATTTTAATACACTTGTTTGAAATAATTCCATTCAAATAATGATATTTTTACAAAAACAATTTTAGTTCCAAATATCCCATATCACATGTATCAGCAAAACATCTTTCAGCAGGTTGTAGCTATACACTTTAATTCATCTGTTTTCACATTCTGAAAGCAGAATATTCCAATATTATTTTTGGCGAGAATGATTTCATTTACATAACAGTTCCGACTTAACTGATAAATAACAATATCTGTTGTACTAGCAGAGTTGGTGAGAATCGTATAAAAAAAATATAGATACAGTATGTGTCAGTATTAATAAGTAATGTTGTATTGTGTGCTCATATTTACAATTACACTGTAATCTTTAATTCCACTTTTTTAATAAAAAAAAAAAAACTTTCATTATGAAGAAAGAAAAAAAAAAAAAAAAAAGGTTGATGAATGGGTTAATTTGACCAAGTCCAAGTCACACCTCCACGCGGTATCAACTGGAAACTCTTTACTCAGTAAAGTGGCCAACGTGACAGGGCCAAATTTAATTTAAATATTTCATGTGGGCTTTTTATGTGCTTCATGTTGACAGTTTTCTCAAGTAGAGTTTATGCTTCATGTTGACAGTTTTCTAAAATACTATATGTGCTTCATGTTGACAGTTTTCTCAAATAGTTTATGTGCTTCATGTTGACAGTGTTCTCAAATAGTTTATGTGATTCAAGTTGACAGTTTTTTTTTTCAAATAGTTTGTGTGCTTCAGGTTGACAGTGTTCTCAAATAGTTTATGTGTTTCATGTTGAGTGTTCTCAAATAGTTTATGTGCTTCAAGTTGACAGTTTTTTTTTCAAATAGTTTGTGTGCTTCAGGTTGACAGTGTTCTCAAACAGTTTGTGTGCTTCAGGTTGACAGTGTTCTCAAATAGTTTATGTGCTTCAGGTTTACAGTGTTCTCAAATAGTTTGTGTGCTTCAGGTTGACAGTGTTCTCAAATAGCTTATGTGCTTCAGGTTGACAGTGTTCTCATATAGTTTATGTGCTTCATGTTGACAGGTTTTTTTTCCAATTAGTTTGTGTGCTTCGTGTTGACAGGTTTTTTCAAATAGTTTGTGTGCTTCATGTTGGCAGTTTTTTTTCAAATAGTTTGTGTGCTTCATGCTGACATTTTTTTTTCAAATAGTTTGTGTGCCCCATGTTGACAGTTTTTTTTTCAAATAGTTTAAGTGTTTTAAGTTGACCATTTTCTCAAGTCCTATGCTGAGTCAGTGCTTGAAGGAATTAAATTTCTAAATCACAGAGCAAAATTTGAAAATCAATATATTACAATTTACATGATATTTATGCTACTTACTTTTCATGTGTTTCAATCCCAAACTTATTCTTTTTTGCACTTTTGTTTTTCTGAATGAAAACAATTGTTAACTGCTTGATGAAAGTTTTAACATATATTCATTTTAATGTATGTGTATATTAAAAACATAGTTGGGTACATTTACTTACCATTACCACAATCTGAAATCGGGTTCTTGATCAATTTCAATTCATGTTCAGAATAAATCCAAGTACTTGACTGCACAGTAATGAATGAAACTTCTGTAAAGTATAAAACTTCATGCTAATTTGATGAAAAAAATAGTTTCAAGTGCTGGATAGATATTCTGTTTAAGCTGAGAATATAAAAAATATAAACATCTAATTATTTATTCTCGATATAAAAAAATAAACATACTGTATGCAAAAACATTTTGTTGAAGTTAAAAACAATATAATACTCTTATATTACTCAATCAAATATTTTGATATTGTAAGAGTTATTTCCCCTTGACCTAAAAATCTGACATGCACTCTTTATGGACATTGGTAATGTGTTTTAACATCATATTGTAATAATTTAAATATCCCTGATATACATGTTAAAATAATGTATTATTCTTAGAGTACTCATTTTAAATGTTTTGATATTGTAAGAGTTATTTCCCCTTTACCTGAAATCTGACATATTTTTTAAGGACATAGGTGAATTGTTTTAACCTCATATTTAATTACTTTACATTTCCCTGATATACATCTTAAAAATAATGCATCTTATTTCTGAAATATCTTTCAGAGGGAGTAAATTTGATAAAAGTACACAATCACCACTTGTTAAGACTCTAACCAGTTAAAATTTCATAATTTTACCAGCATAGATAATTAAATAAGACATAATTTGTGAAACATACAATGATAATACTATTTTGGACTGCATTTCCCTATCTTTTAAATATCTGTTTAGCCTTTAACACTATTTAAATATGTAAGAATTAGTATGGAAAAGGCTGTATTATTGGAAATAATACCACATCTTATTTTCATATAAATCTTAATCTAGGTTTATAAATCTTAATTAGGTCACAATCTGCCTATTCTATAAAAAATATTAACCTTATCAAATATTTCCAGCTTTTCACTATCTTTCATAATTCTCTGTACATAATTCTTGAATATTCCATGTGTTAGTATGTGCCTCAAGATATATATCTTTTGTTCTCACCCAAATCACATTGTAATACTTGCCGCTGAACACTGTCCAATTTGAAATAATAACTCTAGCTGCAAAACATTAAAAATAAAATGAATAAAGACATATCAAAAGTTTGTTAGAAAGGTACCAGAAATTGATATAATTTTTTACTAGGAAAGAAATATACTTTCAAACCACAATCTGTAAGTAAGAATTTTACGATAAAAAATGCTTACATCAGTATTCCTGATGTAGAAGACAAGAGACAATTTTCAGTACTCATCCATATGTCATTTGGTCTCTGGTACAAAGCTATCTCATTGGTAACCATGCCACAAGTACTCATTTTATTATTGTAAAATATTATTTGGTAGACAGTTGACAAATCTTAGTAAGCCCAATGTGTGGGAGAGTACTTATACATCCCTCTTCCTTATATGAAATGACTCTTTTTACTCAATTGCAGAACATGATATTTTTTTACATTGTTTACTTTAAACACTATTTTTCTGAAATTTTATACACTGTTTTTGGTTGTAAAGCATATTTTGTACCAATTAATATGAAATAAGATATACCAATTTCCTGATGGAAATTAACATAAAATTTTATCACGGTAATGCAATCTGATTAGATCATTATAAATCAGTCTATTATATTAAAAAAAGAAATGTTTACCCTTTCAAATATTTCCCGTTTTTCACGGTCTTTCCTTATTCTCTTTTTTCTATGGGTCAGTATGTGCCTCAAGATATACATCTTTTGTTCTCATCCAAATCACATTGTAATACTTGCCGCTGAACACGGACTAATTTGAAATAATAACTCTAGCTGCAAAACATTAAAAATAAAATGAATGAAGACATATCAAAAGTTTGTTAGAAAGGTACCAGAAATTGATATAAATTTTTACTAGGAAAGAAATATACTTTCAAACCACAATCTGTAAGTAAGAATTTTACGATAAAAAATGCTTACATCAGTATTCCTGATGTAGAAGACAAGAGACAATTTTCAGTACTCATCCATATGTCATTTGGTCTCTGGTACAAAGCTATCTCATTGGTAACCATGCCACAAGTACTCATTTTATTATTGTAAAATATTATTTGGTAGACAGTTGACAAATCTTAGTAAGCCCAATGTGTGGGAGAGTACTTATACATCCCTCTTCCTTATATGAAATGACTCTTTTTACTCAATTGCAGAACATGATATTTTTTTACATTGTTTACTTTAAACACTATTTTCCTGAAATTTTATACACTGTTTTTGGTTGTAAAGCATATTTTGTACCAATTAATATGAAATAAGATATACCAATTTCCTGATGGAAATTAACATAAAATTTTATCACGGTAATGCAATCTGATTAGATCATTATAAATCAGTCTATTATATTAAAAAAAGAAATGTTTACCCTTTCAAATATTTCCTGTTTTTCACTGTCTTTCCTTATTCTCTTTATTCTATGGGTCAGTATGTGCCTCAAGATATACATCTTTTGTTCTCATCCAAATCACATTGTAATACTTGCCGCTGAACACAGACTAATTTGAAATAATAACTCTAGCTGCAACACATTAAAAAGACATATCAAAAGTTTGTTAGAAAGGTACCAGAAATTGATATAAATTTTTACTAGGAAAGAAATATACTTTCAAACCACAATCTGTAAGTAAGAATTTTACGATAAAAAATGCTTACATCAGTATTCCTGATGTAGAAGACAAGAGACAATTTTCAGTACTCATCCATATGTCCTTTGGTCTCTGGTACAAAGCTATCTCATTGGCAACCATGCCACAAGTACTCATTTTATTATTGTAAAATATTTTTTGGTAGACAGTTGACAAATCTTAGTAAGCCCAATGTGTGGGAGAGTACTTATACATCCCTCTTCCTTATATGAAATGACTCTTTTTACTCAATTGAAGAACATGATATTTTTTTACATTGTTTACTTTAAACACTATTTTTTGAAATTTTATACACTGTTTTAAGTTGTAAAGCATATTTTGTACCAATTAATATGAAATAAGATATACCAATTTCCTGATGGAAATTAACATAAATTTTTATCACATAATGAAATCTGATTAGATCATTATAAATCAGTCTATTATATTAAAAAAAGAAATGTTTACCCTTTCAAATATTTCCCGTTTTTCACTGTCTTTCCTTATTCTCTTTTTTCTATGGGTCAGTATGTGCCTCAAGATATACATCTTTTGTTCTCATCCAAATCACATTGTAATACTTGCCGCTGAACACAGACTAATTTGAAATAATAACTCTAGCTGCAAAACATTAATAAAATGCTTCGCTGGGCGCAGCTTGATACGACCGCAGAGGTCGAACCCTGAACAGTTGGGGCAAGTATGGACACAACATTCAAGCTTGATACAGCTCTGAATTTGGATTGTGATTAAATATTTGACACAGCATAGGTTTCTGACACAGAAAGAATGTGGTCTAAGAACTTCAATTTTTTTAATTTACCTATTATGGTCCAATGTCCAAAATCAAAATACATGGTTAGATTCAGCGTATCAAAGAACCCCATATATTCAATTTTTGTTGAAATCAAACAAAGTTTAATTTTGGACCCCAACTTGGACAAACTTGAAAACTGGTCCCATAATCAAAAATCTAAACACATGTTTGGATTCAGCATATCAAAGAACCCCAATAATTAAATTTTTGATGAAATCAAACAAAGTTTAATTTTGGACCCTTTTGACCTCAATATGAACCAATTTGATAGCGGGCCCACAAAATAAAAAATCTAAATACATGGTAAGATTCAGCATATCAAAGAACCCCATATATTCAATTTTTGTTGAAATCAAACAAAGTTTAATTTTGGACCCCAATTTGGACCAACTTGAAAACTGGGCCAAAAATCTAAAATCTAAATACATGTTTAGATTCAGCATATCAAAAAACCCCATATATTCAATTTTTGTTGAAATCAAACAAAGTTTAATTTTGGACCCCAACTTGGACCAACTTGAAAACTGGTCCCATAATAAAAAATCTAAACACATGTTTAGATTCAGCATATCAAAGAACCCCAAAAATTCAATTTTTGTTAAAATCAAACTAAGTTTAATTTTGGACCCTTTGGACCTTAATGTAGACCAATTTAAAAACAGGACCCAAAATTAAAAATCTAAATACACGGTTAGATTTGGCATATCAAAGAACCCCAATAATTAAATTTTTGATGAAATCAAACAAAGTTTAATATTGGACCCTTTTGACCTCAATATGAACCAATTTGATAGCGGGCCCACAAATAAAAAATCTAAATACATGGGAAGATTCAGCATATCAAAGAACCCCATATATTCAATTTTTGTTGAAATCAAACAAAGTTTAATTTTGGACCCTAATTTGGACCAACTTGAAAACTGGGCCAAATATCTAAAATATAAATACATGTTTAGATTCAGCATATCAAAGAACCCTATATATTCAATTTTTGTTGAAATCAAACAAAGTTTAATTTTGGACCCCAACTTGGACCAACTTGAAAACTGGGCCCATAATCAAAAATCTAAACACATGTTTAGATTCAGCATATCAAAGAACCCCAAAAATTCAATTTTTGTTAAAATCAAACTAAGTTTAATTTTGGACCCTTTGGACCTTAATGTAGACCAATTTAAAAAACGGGACCCAAAATTAAAAATCTAAATACACGGTTAGATTTGGCATATCAAAGAACCCCAATAATTCAATTTTTGATGAAATCAAACAAAATTTAATTTTGGACCCTTTTGACCTCAATATGAACCAATTTGATAGTGGGCCCACAAATAAAAAATCTAAATACATGGTAAGATTCAGCATATCAAAGAACCCCATATATTCAATTTTTGTTGAAATCAAACAAAGTTTAATTTTGGACCCTAATTTGGACCAACTTGAAAACTGGGCCAAATATCTAAAATATAAATACATGTTTAGATTCAGCATATCAAAGAACCCTATATATTCAATTTTTGTTGAAATCAAACAAAGTTTAATTTTGGACCCCAACTTGGACCAACTTGAAAACTGGGCCCATAATCAAAAATCTAAACACATGTTTAGATTCAGCATATCAAAGAACCCCAAGAATTCAATTTTTGTTAAAATCAAACTAAGTTTAATTTTGGACCCTTTGGACCTTAATGTAGACCAATTTAAAAATGGGACCCAAAATTAAGAATCTAAATACACGGTTAGATTCGGCATATCAAAGAACCCCAATAATTCAATTTTTGATGAAATCAAACAAAGTTTAATTTTGGACCCTTTTGACCTCAATATGAACCAATTTGATAGCGGGTCCACAAATAAAAAATCTAAATACATGGTGATATTCAGCATATCAAAGAACCCCAAGTATTCAATTTTTGATGAAATCAAACAAAGTTTAATTTTGGACCCTTTTGACCTCAATGTGGACAAAGTTGATAACGGGGCCCAAAAATCAAAAATCTAAATACATGGTTAGATTCAGCATATCAAAGAACCCCATATATTCAATTTTTGTTGAAATCAAACAAAGTTTAATTTTGGACCCCGATTTGGACCAACTTGAAAACTGGGCCCATAATCAAAAATCTAAATACATGTTTAGATTCAGCATATCAAAGAACCCTAAAAATTCAATTTTTGTTAAAATCAAACTAAGTTTAATTTTGGACCCTTTGGACCTTAATGTAGACCAATTTAAAAACAGGACCCAAAATTAAGAATCTAAATACACGGTTAGATTCGGCATATCAAAGAACCCCAATAATTCAATTTTTGATGAAATCAAACAAAGTTTAATTTTGGACCCTTTTGACCTCAATATGAACCAATTTGATAGCGGGTCCACAAATAAAAAATCTAAATACATGGTTAGATTCAGCATATCAAAGAACCCCAAGAATTCAATTTTTGATGAAATCAAACAAAGTTTAATTTTGGACCCTTTTGACCTCAATGTGGACAAAGTTGATAACGGGGCCCAAAAATCAAAAATCTAAATACATGGTTAGATTCAGCATATCAAAGAACCCCATATATTCAATTTTTGTTGAAATCAAACAAAGTTTAATTTTGGACCCCGATTTGGACCAACTTGAAAACTGGGCCCATAATCAAAAATCTAAATACATGTTTAGATTCAGCATATCAAAGAACCCTAAAAATTCAATTTTTGTTAAAATCAAACTAAGTTTAATTTTGGACCCTTTTGACCTTAATGTAGACCAATTTGAAAACGTAACCAAAAATTAAGAATCTAAATACACGGTTAGATTCGGCATATCAAAGAACCCCAATAATTCAATTTTTGATGAAATCAAACAAAGTTAAATTTTGGACCCTTTGGACCTCAATGTGGACCAATTTAAAAACGGGGCCCAAAATCAAAAAACTTAATACACGGTTAGATTCAGCATATTAAAGAACCCCAAGAATTCAAGAATAAAACCCCATTGAAATTGATCAAGAAATAAGCAATTTATACAAAGTATCTTCTTTTGCACAATACTGTGCAATTGAATATTTCTTGCTATTGTGCAATACTGTACAATTGACAATTTCTTGCTATTGCGCAATATTGTGCTATCGGATATTTCTTGCTATTGCGCAATACTGTGCAATTGAAGATTTCTTGCTATTGCGCAATACTGTGCAATTGAAGATTTCTTGCAATTGTGCAATACTGTGCAATTGAAAATTTCTTGCTATTGCACAATACTTATTATATAATAATTTACACATCCTGTTTGGTGTGTATCTCCTACCATATCATTATTATTTGCTTTTAAATATTAATCAGAAATAACCAACTTAAAATGGAAAATTTTAAAAGAAAAAAAAAAGGAAAAAAAGAAAAAAAAAATCCCCCCCCCAAAATTTTTTGAACCCCCTTATGATTCATCACCCCCAAACTCAATCCCAGCCTTCCCTTTGTGGTATGGTACCTTGCAGTACAATTTCAGAGAGATCCATACACTTGAACACAAGTTATTGTCTGGAAACTAGAAAAATGCTTATTTTTGGCCCCTTTTTGGCCCCCAATTCCTAAACGTTTCGGGCAATTACCCCCAAACTCAATTCCAGCTTTCCCTTTGTGATATGGAACCTTGTAGTACAATTTCAGAAATATCCAAACACTTACACACAAGTTATTGTCATGAAACTAGAAAAATGCTTGTTTTTTGCCCCTTTTTTGGCCCCTAATTCCTAAAATTTTGAGGCAATTACCCCCAAAATCAATTACAGCCTTCCCTTTGTGATATGGAACCTTGTGGTACAATGTCAGAGAGATCCATACACTTACACACAAGTTATTGTCTGGAATTACAAAAATGCTTATTTTTGGCCCCTTTTTGGCCCCTAATTCCTTAACTGTTGGTACCATAACCCCCAAAATCAATCCCAACCTTCCTTTCGTGGTATTGAACCTCATGGTAAAATTTCATGGAGATCCATTCACTTAAACTAAAGTTAGAGTGCGAAAACCAATGTGTCTTCGGACGACGCCGGACGACGCCAGACGACGACGACGCCAACGTCATACCAATATACGACCAAAAAATTTTCAGTTTTTGCGGTCGTATAAAAATAAAATGAATGAAGACATATCAAAAGTTTGTTAGAAAGGTACCAGAAATTGATATAAATTTTTCCTAGGAAAGAAATATACTTTCAAACCACAATCTGTAAGTAAGAATTTTACGATAAAAAATGCTTATATCAGTATTCCTGATGTAGAAGACAAGAGACAATTTTCAGTACTCATCCATATGTCCTTTGGTCTCTGGTACAAAGCTATCTCATTGGCAACCATGCCACAAGTACTCATTTTATTATTGTAAAATATTATTTGGTAGACAGTTGACAAATCTTAGTAAGCCCAATGTGTGGGAGAGTACTTATACATCCCTCTTCCTTATATGAAATGACTCTTTTTACTCAATTGCAGAACATGATATATTTTTACATTGTTTACTTTACACACTATTTTTCTGAAATTTTATACACTATTTTTGGTTGTAAAGCATATTTTGTACCAATTAATATGAAATAAGATATACCAATTTCCTGATGGAAATTAACATAAAATTTTATCACGGTAATGCAATCTGATTAGATCATTATAAATCAGTCTATTATATTAAAAAAAGAAATGTTTACCCTTTCAAATATTTCCCGTTTTTCACTGTCTTTCCTTATTCTCTTTTTTCTATGGGTCAGTATGTGCCTCAAGATATACATCTTTTGTTCTCATCCAAATCACATTGTAATACTTGCCGCTGAACACAGACTAATTTGAAATAATAACTCTAGCTGCAAAACATTAAAAATAAAATGAATGAAGACATATCAAAAGTTTGTTAGAAAGGTACCAGAAATTGATATAAATTTTTCCTAGGAAAGAAATATACTTTCAAACCACAATCTGTAAGTAAGAATTTTACGATAAAAAATGCTTATATCAGTATTCCTGATGTAGAAGACAAGAGACAATTTTCAGTACTCATCCATATGTCCTTTGGTCTCTGGTACAAAGCTATCTCATTGGCAACCATGCCACAAGTACTCATTTTATTATTGTAAAATATTATTTGGTAGACAGTTGACAAATCTTAGTAAGCCCAATGTGTGGGAGAGTACTTATACATCCCTCTTCCTTATATGAAATGACTCTTTTTACTCAATTGCAGAACTTGATATTTTTTTACATTGTTTACTTTAAACACTATTTTTCTGAAATTTTATACACTATTTTTGGTTGTAAAGCATATTTTGTACCAATTAATATGAAATAAGGTATACCAATTTCCTGATGGAAATTAACATATTTTTATCACAGTAATGAAATCTAATTTATATAGGTCATAATCAGTCTATTAGATTAAAATAAGAAATGTTTTCCCTTTCAAATATATCCTGTTTTTCCCCATCTTACCTTCTTCTTTATATTCCATGTGTCAGTATATGTTCTTCTAGATATATTGTGTTTGATCTCTGCCATACAAATCTCATTGTAATACTTTCTGCTGAACACTGTCAAATTTAAAATAATAATGTTAGCTGAAAACATTGAATACTTATTGAATGGAGACTTTGTTAGATTGGTATCAGAAATGAATATAAATTCTTACAAGGGAAAATATACTATATCATCAAGCATGAGTAGCATTTTTGATAATATCTTGGTAATAAATTAAGGTACAAAATGTAACTCATTCCATTTTATTTGACTTACATGTTGCCAGTGTTGGAAACTATTTATAACATTTTTTGTATATACATGTATGAAGTTTAGTCAACTGCTAATGTGAAATATATTTCTTACCTTAAGTTACGAGTTGTTTCAATGAACATGTAAGTTCTGGGTAGAAAATAATGTTATAATATCATAGGTTTTTTTGGGAGCATATTATATCATAGGGCTTGTTTAGTGGGTCAGACGAGGTTTGACTGTCAATGTTGGTCGTTATCCTATATAAAACACCAAAAGGCAATGAACAAGTTTCTTACCACCAATTTTCAAAATCATAATTTCCAACAATTTCCCACTCATATATCATGTGACCTTCCCAATTATTAAGACGTCTTGAAAGGCTATTATACTTTTTTGCTTTGATGCCTTACAGTGGCGATGTAAGGCGTATAAGGAAAAAAGTTTAATAGCCTTTCAAGACGTAATAATTATTTTGACTAATCATTTACCATGCACCAAAATGTCACAAATTGAACAAATTTCCTAAATACATGTATCTGGTCCTTTCCTTCTAATTTTCCCTTTTAACGCTGTTTTTTAGCATTTTTTGCCAGTTCAGAACAAACAGACAACAGAAAACCATGAGAACAAATTATAGCTGATTGCTCATTAATATTATAATAAACAGGTTGGGAACAACCCCCCAAATGAGGGACATCACTTAAATGAGGGACTGTCAATCAGACCAGGGGTCATTTTACTGTTGTAGAAAAGAAAATAGAAAGACTTAGATTTTTGAACTTAAAAAGGGGAAAATTCATTATATTTGGAACAATTCTTCTAAAAGAGGGGTCCAATTATTTTTAATATTAAAGAAGATATGAGCCCAGGAATATTGCAAAATTCTTGGACATGTTTTGACCATATAAAATAAGATAGATTTATAGTTCTTTTGTGAAAAGTTTCTTCAAATAATATAGATATGTGCTCATTTGTAATGAAAAGTGGTTTTACAAACAAACAAAAGCTAACACTTGAAATGTACCCCTCATAAAAGGGATAGTCATTACATAGACTAATCATCAGATCATAGAGGGGTTACCCCTCAGTAGAGGTGTTGTTCCCAACCTGATAAATGACATTATCGTAATCATATCATTGCACAAAGACAATTTGAAAGTGCAGTGGTACCAGAAGTTCAGAACTAATAGTCGGTATGACCTGACCGCATGTGCATTTTAATTTTACTCACTTTGGTCAGTATTTGATGTTATCTTCCAAGAGGCAAGACTTACAAAACGTGCTTTTATGATCTTTTATCTGTGTGCCATGTGTCTAAAAATGCAGGGGAATATAAGTAAGGGAGAGGGAAACCAATGATAATATGCTGGGAAGATCTTATTCGAACCTGTTGGTACTTTACCATATCAATTGAGTAAATATCAGAGATTATTGAAAAATAAATCGTATCTTGCCATTGGTTTAAAAACATTTACGTCAAAATGACAATAAGTTATAACATGAATATTGATATATTTGAACTCTATTATTCTAAAATTAAAAGGTCAATACAGTTTTGTTTACAAACTAACGCGTATTAATTACAGCCATGCACATGTTTAAATAGGGACCATAATAGGTATATATGATTATAAAATGGCAACATTTAAAAAAAAGACTTTAAATTTATTTGTTTCCGTTGTGCACATATTTTTGTACAATATTAACGATTTGATGACACTCACAGGTAATTTGCATTCTAACTGCAATGCTCCTTTCATGAAACGTGTCACCAGGTTGTTGTATTTCAACTGTTCGATAGTTCTTAACTTCTGTTACTCTTGAGTCAGTGATGATTATTTCATTTTTTATTTTTAATATAGACTATTCTTCTATTAATAAAAGGATGAACTATTTATCTATTTACAACAAAAGCGGCTTGCTTATGACAGCACCTTAGACAACAGAATATTTTAGGACCACTCTGTATTTGTCAATGTGAAATCATATAATATGTACATAAATAAACATTATTGTGACTTTTTCTTTTCTTTTCTTTTCATCTTATCATTAAAATATATTAAAGAGTTTATAGAAAAAAATCGTAAGGGTTCCGCGGAACCCAGTGTCTCGCCTACTTTTGTTGTAAAAGTGTTATAGTAGCAGGCTCAACAAAAATGGGGAAAATTATTGATTTTTTTCCTCTAGATACTATCTTTTGATTCTGTCCAACTGAAGTGTGGTTAAAATCCAGGATGGTTTGAATCTATTAAATGTTTTTAAAACTTTAACTGCAGACTGTATGTAATGTTAACTTGAAGAAAACTAAGTCCATTTATAAGTAATATACGGAACAAGAGTGCACACGCTGAAATGTCTCGCCTTCTTTACTAATCATTGATATTATGTTGATAGTCCTAAATATAAAGCTTTATTACAACTGTCACATAAACTTAACATTAACCAAGTAAACTAAACATTGACCAATGAACCATGAAAATGAGGTCAAGGTCAGATGAACCATGCTAGGCAGGCATGTACAGCTAACAATTCTTCCATACAACAAATATAGTTGACCTATTGCTTATAGTTTAAGAAAAACAGACCAAAACACAAAAACTTAACACTGAGCAATGAACCTTGAAAATGAGGTCAAGGTCAAATAAAACCTGCGTGACTGCCAAATAGATCATAAAATATTTCCATACACCAAATATAGTTGAACTGTTGCATATAGTATTAGAAAAAAAGACCAAAACTCAAAAAACTTAACTTTGACCACTGAACCATGAAAATGAGGTCAAGGTCAGATGACACCTGCCCGCTAGACATGTACACCTTACAATCATTCCATACACCAAATATAGTAGACCTATGGCATACAGTATAAGAAAACCAGACCAAAACACAAAAACTTAACTATAACCACTGAACCATGAAAATGAGGTCAAGGTCAGATGACACCTGCCAGTTGGACATGTACACCTTACAGTCCTTCCATACACCGAATATACTAGACCTATTACTTATAGTATCTGAGATATGGACTTGACCACCAAAACTTAACCTTGTTCACTGATCCATGAAATGAGGTCGAGGTCAAGTGAAAACTGTCTGACGGGCATGAGGACCTTGCAAGGTACGCACATACCAAATATAGTTATCCTATTACTTATAATAAGAGAGAATCTAACATTACAAAAAATCTGAACTTTTTTTTCAAGTAGTCACTGAACCATGAAAATGAGGTCAAGGACATTGGACATGTGACTGACGGAAACTTCGTAACATGAGGCATCCATATACAAAGTATGAAGCATCCAGACCTTCCACCTTCTAAAATATAAAGCTTTTAAGAAGTTAGCTAACGCCGCCGCCGCCGTAGCCGCCGCCGCCGCCGCCGCCGCCGCCGGATCACTATCCCTATGTCGAGCTTTCTGCGACAAAAGTCGCAGGCTCGACAAAAACAGTAGATACTAGCTTTCGATCATAAACAAGCTTCTATCCAAGTTTTAAAAATTTTAACACCCAGTCAATGTAATGCTAACTGGCAGAAAAAATAAGTCCATTTATAAGTAAATACGGATAAACAGGATTTTTTTTACAAAATTTACTTCTGGATACTATCTTATAATCAAAAACAAACTTCCTTCAAAGTTTGGTAGAAATCGATGATAGTTTCAGAAAGTTATTAAAATTTTAAAAACTGTAACCACAGAGTGAATATTTGTGGACGCCGCAATGTAGGATCGCTATGTCTCGCTTTTGCGACAAAAGTCGCAGTCTTGACAAAAAGAAGATGTGGAATGATTGCCAATGAGACAACTCTCCACAAGAGACAGATGACACAGAAATTAACAACTATAGGTTACCGTACGGCATTCAACAATGAGCAAAGCCGTAAATACATATATAGATATAGGAAGATGTGGTATGAGTGGCAATGAGACAACTCTCCGTCCAAGTTACAATTTATGAAAGTAAACCATTATAGGTCAAAGTACGGCCTTCAACACGGAGCATTGGCTCACACCGAATATAGTCAGCTATAAAAGGCCCCGAAATGACAAATGCAAAACAATTAAAACGAGAAAACTAACGGTCTAATTTATGTACAAATTAATGAACGAAAAACAAATATGTAACACAGCAACTAACGAAAACCACTGAATTACAGGCTCCTGACTTGGGACAGGCTCATACAGAATGAGGGGTTAAACATGTTAGCAGGGCTATGGTAGAATATTCCAATATAAGAAAAAACCATAAAAAGCAGTTAAAAAAGGCATCAACTCATCAGATGGAATCAAATAGAAATACATCTAACAAAAACAGACTGTATATTATCCTTTCATTTATTTAATAAACAGGACAGATCCACCCTTTGACCACAACCTGTTATATATTAATTCCAGGCGAGGATCCAGTCATTTTGAAAGGGGATTCCGACTCCAGGAACACTCCCTGGATCTGCCGATGATTTCACGGGTTTCATTGTGTTTAGGTGTTTTTTTTTCAATTTGAGGAAATAAGCAGTAGAATTATTTGTAGGTTTTCTAAGCGTGGATTTCAAATGTGTAATCTCAGCAGGCAGATGCATGTCATGCCCCAGTCACACTAGACCACGATCGCATCACGCTCACCGCGATCTAAAATAAATTCAGATCGTGGTGAGGTCGCGATAAGAGCGGCATGAAATGTAGATTTTCGTTGTTTTCGCGATGCTACTACGTCCTCGTTACGCTTCTACAACGATCTTGCTACGATTATACCACGTTCTCACCACGCAGCAGTCGCTTATTCTGCGACCTTACTACGATTATTTCGATCTTACTACGCTTATCACGTTCTCATTACGACCATACCACGATTTATCCGATCTCACCACGCTTCTTCTGCGATTATAGCACGCTCTTACCACGATCATTCTACGATATTACCACGTTTATATCGCGATCTAACTACGCCCTCAGCAGTAACGTCAACATCACGATCCATATCTACCAGAACTCGTGGGCGTGGTGGTGGCGGAAAATGTAGTCAGAGGGGCCTCTGGTACGAATCCTGATCCAGTAGAGATGTCGGATCAACCAATCAAACCTGAATCACAACGTTTTGCTGATCTATCCAGATCAACTGACGATATTTTATTGAACAAAAGTGGGAATGATACCCACGGGGAATGATACAGATGTGTAAAGCATGGTCGAGCTGTTGAATATTAGGGTCATGAGGTCCAAATTACATACAGACAAACAAAACATGGAGAGCTTTTATATATTTTATGTGACGATGACAATGAGCATGGCTATAACTCGAAATGGTCGTAGTATGAACGTAGTCAGGTCGTAAGACGGGCGTGATGAGGACGGCATG